TGTCCTCAGTCCCCCTGCTGTGTCTACCGCAGTGCCCCTCAATCTGCACTGTGTCCCTGTCCTCAGTCCCCCTTGCTGTGTCAACCGCAGTGCCCTCAATCTGCACTGTGTCCCTGTCCTCAGTCCCCCTGCTGTGTCTACCGCAGTGCCCCTCAATCTGCACTGTGTCCCTGTCCTCAGTCCCCCTTGCTGTGTCAACCGCAGTGCCCCTCAATCTGCACTGTGTCCCTGTCCTCAGGCCCCTTGCTGTGTCAACCGCAGTGCCCCTCAATCTGCACTGTGTCCCTGTCCTCAGTCCCCTTGCTGTGTCAACCCTCGGACAAAGCCAGCTGAACCAACAGACCTCGCCCTGTGTGGGGGCGCGTGCTGGCGGTCAGTGAGGCTCCTGGTCGGGGTGTGGAGCTTCTGTCATGGTAACAAGCCCAGAGACACCCGGGCATCTACCCTGCGGCCTGCAGCGCCACCCTGGGTCCCCGTCCCCAGCAGACACACCCACCTGTCGACTTTGCAGGCTTTGTACCAGCCACCGTACTCGCCGAAAGACGCCCCCTCCTTCTGCTTTCCCTGCGTGAGGCACAGCAAAGGGGTCGTTATTCTGACAGCAGAGTGCCCGGCTCGGAAGCGCTCTGAAAGCAGGAGAGCCTTACTTTGCACTCCTCCCGCTCCTCCGCGTGCATCCAGATGGGCTTGTTCTCATCTGGGAAGAAGAGGGCACTTCAGACACTCAGGGCAGCAGAGCCCCCAGGGCCTGAGAATCCCACCATGTTTTTGTTCAGGCCTCTGACCACTGCACCATACACCTGAAGGGGGTACGTTCACGCCAGGAAAGAGAGCTGGTCCACCCTGCCCACAGGCTGCAGACCACATGGATCTAGCCAGACAGAAGCACAACTCTCAAGCCTGGTAGTTTCACTAGGAGACTCCTGGTGAAACAGCTGTGTGCCCAAGATTCCTCATTCCCTCTGGAGGTGTCCCAGTGATCCAAGCTCCCGGACAAGGCCGGCAGTATTTGGGATGTGAAGCCTCGTGTTGGCAAGAGTAGAAACCGAAAACGTGACATCAGTGAATGCACGTGAGGGTGTCGGGAAGTTGGTGAAGAGGGGAATGAAGAGCCGGTGGAAGCGCCTACGGGGGCTGGAGGAGGGCTAGAAATACGCAGGAGTGGAGCTGCCTCGCTGCGCGCGTGAGGGTGCTCTATATGACTGCCCTGCATACACGGCACAACCCGCAGAGGAAGGACAGACAGGACAGCGGTACTGCAGGGCCCTCTGTGCTCGTGAGGACCCAGCCTCCCAGGGCCGTCAGCAGGCTCTGTCTCCTGGAGGGCGACAATCCCTCCAGAGCCACTGTGCAAGCTGAACATGCCAGTGAGCAGGCCCCTGGCACCACTGACATGCCCGGCAGTGAGGGGGCAAGCCCTAGGGCAGAGGGGACAGTCTGAAGCATCCTGCTGTGGACGGCAGGTTTCCCCAGGCGCGCACCATCAACTCAGCCTGGCTTCTTGGAGAGTGGGCCACCGGTCCAGGGAAGGTCAGTGAAGGTCGGCAGCAGGCCCACCCCCAGGGACAGAGATCAGGGATAGTCACGGAGTATGAACTGGGGAGAGTGTGAGCTAACACTTGCAAGCCATTTCTGGAACACTGTCGCAAAACTTCCAACTAAATCCTTGATTAAACAGTGTGATGACTTGGCAAGGACTCCTCACTGCGTTTACAACGACATGCTTGTTTGAGACAGGTGTGAGCTTCTTACCGTCCACAGACCCAAACTCCCGCTCGTGTGCACGAGTGAGGATCTCCTTGTACAGCGTCTCCGCTTGTTTGAACTTGCCTTGCTTCAGGTAGCAGGAAGCCTTAAAATGAGGGAGACGGTTACGGTCCCTGCTACACGGTCACGCTCAGGTGAGAGGAAGGCTCAGAGCTAGGAGGAGGGGGAAGGGGTGCTCAGGTGCTCTGGAGAAGGTGTGGTCGGCATACCAGGTTGTTTTTGGTCTTGGCCACATTGGGGTCGTCGGGCCCCAGCTTGGTTTGGTAGATGTCCAGGGCCCGCTGGTAGTAGTATTCCACCTCCTCGTACTTGCCCTGGTTCTGACACAGCAGGGCCAGGTTGTTCAGCTGCTTGGCCACGTCGGGGTGGTCCTTGCCCAGGACCTGGGAGTAAAGCCGAGTATCAGAAGCAGGGGTCGGTGGGTTCACAGCCATCCAGTCCATGCCCACCCTGACGGAGGCTTGACCACAGAGCTGCCAAAGCAATGTGTCGGCCAGCCCTGAGGGAGCACTCTCAGAAACCATGCTCAAGACCACACCTCACCATGCGCACAGGGCGCTTCGAAAGGCTCATGGGAAAGCGCCAGTTTCCCATGAATATCTGGGCGCCGCCCGTCGAACCAACCCCCCACACTCTGAGAATGGAACAGTAGTAAGTTACAGGATGGGGGCTTCAAAAAATGATGTGGAAATTTTCTTTTAATTCCATTTTCTACAAACTTTTTGAAGCACCCTTGTAGTCTGAAGATTACAAGAAAGATTACATTAATCTCCCTGCCAAGTTCTCGAGATGCCCTTTCTGACTCGAAGGCCCGTTCCTCAGCGCCACACGCACCCACTCCGCCCACCTCACTTTCTACTGCTCCTCAGCGCCACATGCACACCCCACTCTGCCCCACCTCACTTTCTACACCAACGGCCTGAAGTGTAAAAGGCCATCTCCTCTGAGGGGACCTCCCCAGGATGAGGCCGGCCATCTATCCATCTCTTTATCAGTTGGTCCCTGCCCATTACAACGGAGTCTGCCTCCAGGGAGGAGCTGGGCCTCCGAGGGAGCCCAACAGGACTCCTGGAGCATCTCTCTGCCTCCGCCTGTGCCTCCTCCAACCTCTTCTGGAGGCCTCCTGCTGCCCCCCAATTGCTGGCCTGCCCAGCTCCACCTCTGTCCTCAGCCAGCACTGGGCCTTCCCCAGACTGGACTGGACATGGATTCGTAGCCTCCAACCATGACCAACCCAGGGCCCACATCCTCTGGAAGGACTAGGTGAGGCAGGGAATGAAAGAGCGAACCTCACATGACTGGTCCATGCACTGGACCTCCGTGGACCCCCAACTGTGACTCCAGCCGCTCCAGCTGAGACGCCTCAGCTCACCCAGAATGGACAGTGTCCTCCCCATGTACCACACAGACACAGACGGCCATGGGCTGCAGCATCAGATAAGGCGGCCCAGCCCTCCTCCTCTCCCACTGCCCTGCTATCTGGCCCCAAATAACAAGCCAACTCTCAGTATCAACTCCGCTGACCAATGACCACAAACCCACAAGGTTATCTGTTAGTTAAGTTCTGATTTCAGAGAAAAACCCATAACATTGGGCCCTGGCCTGACACCCGCGTCTCTATAACATGGTGGGGATGGCATTACTACAGCAGTGGAAGCTGGCACTCAGCCCCGCCGGTGCATGCACACAGCATGGCAAATGACAACCTAATGTGTCCTTGACAATGCGCTCGGCCCAGCTACACAGAATCGGGATCAGGAATGACAACCAGCTGGCCAAAGAGGAGCTCATTTTTCACTCTGAAAAGAATGATTTCATGCTTAAGCTTCCTATCACCTCTTTTGCAAACACATCTATTCTTTTAACTTTAGTCTCTTTCTTATTGATGACTGCCTGCCCACTGCCAAAGAGCCCTGGTGGCACTGTGGGTTAGGCACTGGGCGGCAAACCAGAGGTGGGCAGTTCAAACCCACGGGCCACTCCTTGGGAGAGATTCCCAGCCTTGGAGACCCGCCGCAAGGTCACATCGAGTGGCAATCGACTTGATGGCAGGGGTTTGGCTTTGGCATTTTGGCCCCATTGTCAGATGAAGTGGGGCACTCCCTGCCCCCCTTTGCTGGAGAGCACTTGGAGAGGGGTCTCCCAGCTGACAGAGGCGGGCCTCCCTCCGCACACCTTTTCTCGGATCTCCAGGGCCCGTTTGCACAGCGGCTCGGCTTCCTTGTACTTCCCTCTCTTGCCGTAGAGCACCGCCAGGTTGTTCAGCGTGGCCGCCACCTGCCGAGACCAGAGAGCTACTCAGAGAGGCAAAGCTCCTGCTCTGCTGACGGCCCCCCTCGGCACGCAGCCAGCCAACCCCACCGGTGAGGCATGCACACCTGCCTCAAGGAGAAGCAATGGAACAACTCACAAGAAAGTAGGCAGAGTTCAGGGAGGAGGGGCCTTGATTTTTTTTTTTTTTAATTTCACTGGAAGTCATAAGGGCCACCAAATCAGAAGAATCTGGATGAGGTCTTAAAGCCTGTGTAGATTCTTTAGAAAGTAATCTTTACAAGTGCATGCGGTTTGATTGGGGTGGGATTCGGGTCATGTGCTGGGCATCAGAGCCCCCATGGACGCTTACCAGCGGGTCACAGGAGAGAAGACCACCTGCCTGCCCCCCTGTGAGAGGCTCCTCTGAGCCTTTCCCTGTTGGTCAACATTCGATGAGTCGGGAAACAGGGATTGACAAGGGTGACAGCAGAGGGTGTACAAACCGCAGGGTGGTCTCTGCCCAGTGTCTTCTCTCGGATCGCGAGGGCGTCATTCAGCAGGTTGGCCGCATCTTTATATTTATTCTGGTCCCTGCAGGGAAACACACACACACACACACACACACACACACACACACACACACACACACACACCATGTGTTTTAGGGACGGGCCCCAGGTCCTCGTGTGTAAAGGGAACGCCGAACTATGAAATAAGTGAAGTTTCAACAGCGTACGAAGCAAGAGTCAGCACCTGTACTGCGCACGTGCAGATCAGTCTGCCAGCCCGGTGCCAGGCCCAGGAGGGCACACATGTCACCATGTGCGGAGGCATTCTCTGTGGTTTTCTCTGTTCCAGGGGATCTGTACTTTGTACCCTTCTGGACGTTCCGATTCTGAGAGAATCAAGCATTTTGAAAACAGCAGGCCCGCTTGCTACCCTCTGGGCCGGGAGCTCACTCAGCCCCTCCACACCTCGAGCTCTGGTGCTGGCTGCGCAGGGTGCCGTCACCAGTGCTGGGCCATGAGGAGCTCCTGTGGTGTCATGGGGACGCACTGGGCTGCTAACCTCAGGGCCAGCAGTTTGCAACCACCCCTGCTCTGTGGTTAAAAGATGCTTTCTACGCCTGGGAAGAGCTACAGTCTTAGAAACCCCGTCAGCAGTTCCACTCCGTCCTATAGAGTGGCTGTGCATCAGAACGGATTCAATGGCAGTGAGTTTTGTTTTGTTTACCAAGATTTTATATGCAGCATCTGCCGCTAGATAATCCCCACAGTGTGTACGACAAGAGTGAAAATTCCCAAATGCCCAAGTCTAGAGGACAATGGTCAGGTGGATTCTATTACGCACGTCCAGCCACCAATTAGTAACAGCTGCTCCCGAAAGGATCACGTTAAAAAGTGGAAGAAATATGTGGAAAAAAACTCAAAATCACTAAAAGGCCAGGCTGAGTGGTCACATAAGAAATGGTGTAACCCTGACAACAAGGTCCCAGGCTCGCTTCAGTCACCGGCCCCACCCCCCGCTCAACTTCCAGCTACGCGACAGACAGGCCTCCTTGGGGAGCAGTAATTCAGGGGAGATGGGCCCCAGACAGCAGACCACACAAAACTATGGGCAGCTGGAAGGCAGCGCTGGGCATGGACAAAGGTCACAAGGCAGAGAGCTAAGGAAGGAGGAGAGCACAGGGAGCAATGGGGTGAAGTGGGCTCCATTAGGGGCTGCAATCAGTGACAGAAACAGACCTGCTCAACTGAAAACTGTAATCCCTTACGGCACAGGTTGCTTCCTGTTTCCACCTTCTTTTGTCTCTTGCCAATGTTGAAACTTGCTGTACACATCACTTCCCCACATGGGTCACACCCTCCCCCTTCCAACCACACTGGCGCCATGTCCCCGTGGCTGCCGCACCCCACAGTACCCCCATCCTTGCTCAGGTTCTATTACCTGTCGCCAACACACCTGCTACCTGGGCACCTGGCCCCTAGCACCATCCTGTCCTGTGCCTCCTGGACCAGCCCCTTCCAGCCTCACCTATACATGTGGCACAGAGCGACTGCAAATGTGGCTCTGCCCACATCTACCTGCTGAGCCCAACCGCCCTGCACGGCCCAGGACAGTGCACCCAGCCCCCATAAGCCCTCCCACCGGGCAGCCACCATCCCCTCAAGGAAGACCTACAGATAGTCACGGACTCCTCAAGCAGGGCTGGGCGGCCCTCTCGACAGAGTGCTCTAAGAAGACACCCTCTGCCGGGCCTCTGAGCAGGCTACCACCTCCTCCTCCTCTTCAGAGACTGAGCAAAGGTCTCGCCTCTCAGTGGGCCCCGGGAGCAGCTCCGGACAGAGCCCCCAGCCGCGAAGTCCGAGCAGGAATTGTGCCTGGTTCCCCCAAACTCAAATGGCCCCAGGCAACCGAGCTCTGATGGCCACCCCCTCCTGAGGGCCAACCTGGGCCCAGCGTTGGGCCAGCGCAGCTGAAGGCATAGCACCCAATGTCTGGCCAGAGGCTCTCTGCGCAGGCTGCCCTCTCAGTACGAGGGCAACACACTGGTTCCCTGACATGTGTCTGGTGTGGGGCAACAGCTAGGGCAGAGCCATACGTGGGCAGGCCCGTGGCGTGACCTGGACCGCACCCCCAGGAATGGGGGGTCCCAGCAGGACAGGGAGCAGGACCCAGCCACCCAGGTGGTGAGCATGAGGCAGGAAACAGACAAGCAGGGCCGGGTTGACCGAGTGAGAACCGGTGCTGGACTAGAAGTGGAGGCATTTCTGCAGCCCGCGATGGGCTCTGAGGGGCAAGCTGGTGCAGAATAAACTTGCTGTAAGGCATGGGGCGCCCCGGGCGCATACCTGTACACCAGAGCCAGGATGTTCAGCATGGTGGCCACGTCCGGGTGGTCATGCCCCGAGGTCTTCTCCAGGTCCTCCAGGGCCTGCTTGCACAGGGGCACAGCGACCTCGTAGCGGCCCTGCGAGGCGTACTGGATGACCAGGTTGTGCAGGGTGCGCAGGCGGGCGGGGATCTCGTAGCCACCCTGCTGGGCTGCGGCGGCCGCACTGCTGTGCTGCTGCTGGACTGCAGGGCAGGGAGAGGGAGGGGCTGCTGGGGATCCAGGCTCTGTCGGGTCCCCTGGGCAGGCCTACCACCTGGGAGGGGCCGGGGCTGAGACCTCTTCTGGCACCACGCAGACGAGGCAGAAAGAGGATTATGTTGGCCGTGAGCACGTCCAACTTACTCTGGCCCTCTTCTCTCTAGGGCAGCTTCTCAACCTTCCTCATGCCGCAACCCTTTCATACGGTTCCTTATGTGGTGGTGACCCCCAACCATAAAATTATTTTTGTTGCTACTTCATAACTGTCATTTTGCTACTGTTATGAATCGGGCGATCCCTGTGAAAGGGTCGTTTGAACCCCAAAGGGGTTGCAACCCACAAGTTGAGAACCGCTGCTCTGGGGTCTGGCTAACCCTGCCTGTGGAGTCTGTGGGCAGTGGACGGGGCTCCTATGGGTCTTGGGTAGCCTGACTTCAGGGCATGCAGGGGCCACAGCCTCGTCTCCACCACCCCGGCGGCTCGGGGCTGAGGTGGCGACCTTGTTGCAGCCAGGCTGGTTGAAGGCAGAGGAAGCTAACATTAGAGCAAGGGCTTCAAAGATGGTGGCAGACCACGCCACAGCGACGGGTGGGACGCTCCACAGTCCTGCCAACAAGACAATCTCACACACTAGAACCCTGAAAGGGCTCAGCAGGCTACCTCCAAGTCTCCTGTGCCAGTGCCAACTGGGAATCTCTCCCATGTGGCTGCTCCACTGAGTCACAGAAGGGTGCCATTCCTGGTCTCATCCTGACTGCGTGGTCGGGCAGTAGGAACTGTCTGTAACTTGGACGTATCAACCCTGGGAACTGCCTATTTCCCCCAAAACAGAAGCTACATTCTCCTCTGCTGGGAAAGGGACAAGGTGGCCATCAACCCAATCCATCTGTACATCAAAGCCACCGCCGGACACGTGCTCCCGCAGGGAAGGGACTTCCTGTCAACAGTCACTCACTGCCTTGGCCTGGGTCATCCTCGTCATTCGGGAAAAGGTCATCCAGAGGCTCTTTGGTGGAATCAGTGTCCCTGTCCTCCTGGAAAACAGACCAGAACATCCCTGAGTCTAACAAGCAACCCCATCATCTCCTGAGAACCTCGATCTTAGCAAGAGCTACCATGCAGGAGTTTGCTAAACCAGAACTCAGAAGACTCAACCCAGGCCTAGCTGGGCCACCAGCCCAGCTCTGCCTCGGGGTCTCCACCTGTAGGTATGCCGAGGGGGTTCCAGGACAGTGAGCCCCTTACCTGAGGAGAAATCTGACTGGGAGTCAGAGACGACAAACAGATTTAAGTGGCTTCCCTGATAGAAATCACATGGCAGCAGAGTGGGCCCCAATCCCACCCCTATCTGAGTGGTGTCTTCTGAGAGAGGAGGATGGGGAGATGGCAGGTGAGACTCCATTTACAAGCCAAGCACACGCAGCTGCCAGGGCCGGCTGAGCCCAGGAAGACCCCTCCTGATAGAGCAGGACAGGCCTGCGCCGCCTGAATCTGAACCTGGAACCGCCGGACCACGAAAAGCCATCAACTGCTACCTGACAGCCTAGCAGTTCGAACCCACCAGCCACTCCATCGGAGAAGAAGGAGGCTTTCTGCTCCATCCACGGGCAAGATGCCGGCTGTGCCCTACGGGGTCAGTTCAGGCCAGAACGTGGAGTTCTGCAGCTGGTCACTTGGTGGTGCTAACCTTTCTCCTGCAGACAGCTGGGTACTTCACTGTGGCACCACCAGCGACAAGATTGTGTCAGGTTCAACAGAACAACTACCTGGATCTTCGCAATTGTCAGTGTCAGGAGAAACCAGGCGCCAGCTGCGTGCTGAGTGCCGGGTCGCCACACTGCTGGGAAGACCCACAGCTGGACTGCAAACTACTGACCTTGAACCTGACCCCACCCCCGCGGGCTCAGTCTGCACCGTATCTTCATGGCCAGCACCCATGTGTCCACATCCTCCCCTGGCCAGAGCATGATGTCCATCTCACTGTCCTGCACCTCAGTGCTGAGCCTTGTCCCCAGAAGGAGCATGTGGGCACACTGAGCCGCTGGCTCTAAGTCAGTGTGGGAGCTGAGACTAGGTCCTGGGACAAAAAGGGGACATCAATGGAAGCAATGGTGGCCTCTGAAACCAGCCTGGCGGGGCGACGGCTTGGGTGCCGTGGAGGCAACGGTCCCATCCACAGAGCTTAGGTGACCTCCCAACTTTCTACAAACCTAAATGACTCCAAAATCAAGTTCATTCTGCAAAGAAAGTAGCTGATGAAATGTAGTCGAGAATGGACAGAGCATGCAGATAGAGCTGACTGAAAAACAAAGCCTGGACACTTGGAGGTCCAGCCTCCCCCCGGGCTGTGCCCAGAAGCACCAGTTGGTGTAGACCTGAGTTCCAGGCACCTGGTCTGGCTTCAGGGGCCCTGGTGGTACACTGGTTAAAGCACCCAGACTCTTACAGAGAGGTCAGCAGTTCAAACCCATTAGCCTCTCCTCTGATGGACTCAATGGCAGTGTGCTTGGTTTTGGGGGTCTGACAAGAGCCCCAGGGATAAGAACAGGAGGGATGGGGTGAAGGGGTGAAGGAGACCAGACCACACTGAGAACACAACACTGGAGTGTAAGCCCCCTCCCCACTCTCCTTTTCTGACCATTGTTCTGAAAGCCACACTGAGAAAGGCGGCAGTGGCAAGACCAGGGACGGGGGCGAGCAGGCCCAGGCACAGTGTGGGGACCCAGTTCCACCACCCCAGCCTGCTCTGGGTGGGGCGGAACCCTAGAGGGAGGACGGGCCCCAAGGGGGCCCAGAGCCACTTACAGCCGGGGAAGTGTCGTCGTCGTACTGTTTCAGCTGGTTCATGAACTCCAGGTGCTTCTTCTCCTCCTCCAGCTGCGCCACCGACTGCTCGCTCTTCTGCAGCTTCTGCTGCGTGTTGGCCAGCTCATCCCGCAGCCACTGGTTCTCCTGGCACAGACGGCGGACCTGGGCACGCAGCTTCTGCTTCTCCGACTCCACGGCGTTCAGGTGGTTGGACAGCGCCATCATCACCTGCAGAGAACCCAGGTCAGCGTGTCCTCCTGTGCCAGCGAGAGGACCAACACACCTGCATTTTCTCCAGAGTTCCTACAGCCCAATGTGTCACTCTGTTCTGTGTCTGCCTTTCAGCCGGTGGCAGCCCTCCAGGCAGAACAGAGAATTCCCTGAGTGGCTCCAAACACCAGCGTCCTGAGGCTTTCCCTGTCCGAGGGCATCTCCCTGGGCAGCTCAGAGCATCAGTTCTCACTGTTGGCCTGGATGCTCCCAGCCTCGCCCTGAAAGACTGTTGGGAAAGAACCTTCTCCTGGTGTGCATGGTACTGTGCCTGAGCCCGGGTGATGTGGGGCTCGAAGGAGTCAGGCAGGGTGGGTGCTCACACTGCCAGTGTTATGAGGCCAGGGGAGCCTGCACAGGGCATCCACAGGCTGGCCTCTGTGGAGACTACCCACTGACCAGGCCAGGAATGGGCCTACCTGAGGCCAGAGCGAGCCCTTAGAGGACGAGAGAAGAGCGAGCTGGAGAAGAGCTGCCTGGCCCCATGTGTCCGCTCCTTGAACCAGGACTCCCAAGTTCAAAACCCAAAACTCCAGGAGGTGGGCTGTTGCTTCCTTCTTTTCTAATCGTGACATTAGCTGAACAGGAAAATGAAGTGCGTGATCCTTTCAGCAAAAGCACATGAGAAACAGGAGCCTCGATGGTGAGCAGACCAAGCCACATCTACACCCATGGTCCAGACGGATACAGAGCCAAGGTGGGAGGAGAGAAGCTTCCTTTGTGAAAGCAGAGCCCCTGGTCTGCACCAGGCCAAGAGCGAACCAACAGTTCCTACGTTGAGTCTGACCTAGGATTTGTTGGCACGCCCAGCAGTCCCTTCTCAGGGACAGAGACCTAGGCGTCCCCACTCTCCCACTGTTTCTAGCATGACTGCCACAGGGCCCTTCAAAAAGCTCCTAGGAAGATGGCGTGACCCAGCAGGCAAAGCCCTGTCCTTGGCCGAGGTCAGCAAGCTGCAGCTGGGGCTCTTCCAGCTCTGTCTCCAGGGTGAGAGGAGCTGCTGACCTGGCAGCACCTTCCTACATGCCCTCCCCACCCCAACCCGTGTGCCCTGAGTCCACAGCATGTTTGCACATGAGGGCCCCAGGTCCCGCTGATGCCACCACCCACTGTCGGGCTGTGCAGCCAAACCAAGTCCTGGGGGAGCCGGCCGCCTCCCCTCTGATGCCGATGCTTTGGAATTCAGGTCAGCAGGGACCCAGCCTCAGGCCCACAACAAGCCGCCCACCCCAGAGCCCAGCTCTGTCTGCCCCGCCCTCACGCTCCAATCACGCCGACTCTCCTCGTCCATCCTACCTGTGCCTCGCTCAAGCCGAGCTCCAGCATCTCCAGGGACTTGCGGATCATGTTGGACTTCTCCTCCACCAGGTTACTCTCATCGTCCTGCTTCAAGCACTTCAGCGTCTCCAGCAGGCTCTGCAGGATCGAGTTATGCTCGTTCTTCAGGGCCTCCAGCCCCTGGATGACCTGCTTTGTCTTCGAGATGATCTCGTCCTGGGTCAGCTTCTCCAGCTTCTCTTCCTTTATGTACACCATGGTGGACATGTTGTCGTACATTCTAGAGGGAGAAGACGGGACAGCAACAGAGCCCGTTACATGCTGGCTCACGTGCTGGCAAGCCCCCACATGTGACTACTTCTGAGTGAGCCTTTTCAGGGGCGGACAGTAAATGACAGGGGCTTGTCATTTATCACCTGGAAATAAACATACAAATATCTTACACAATGTCCCTGTGTTTCCAGACCAATCTACACTTCTCTGGATTCTCCCTGGGTTTCCTGACGGTGAAATGACAGCAGTGAAACCAATGCCAACGGCTCAAGGTTACAAATGCCTGTGTCATGTCCAAGACCACTGCCTCTATGCAAAGACGTCTCAGCCCACCTACAGCTCTGCTTCAGTGCAGAAACGCACGTGGCCCCTGCGCCCGAAGGAGGCAAGAGGCAGCAGCAGGACGGGGAAGCATGAGAGCAGCAGGAGAAATGACTGAGCCCAAGTGACAGAGGGCTGACCCTCCGAAAGCTAAGCAAAGACCGACAGTACGGCCAGCAATTGCACTCTGAAGGCCACTGCAGCACTACTGCCAGCAGCCCAGAGGCCAGACCCGCGATGCGAGCAAGACGGGTTGTCACAGGAGCTTCCTGGCGCACACCCCGAGATGGGAAGTGGCTGGGCCCTACCTAGTACACAGGAGCGTCGAGACTGTACCCACACCAAGGTTTCCTGGGGACAGCAGGGGGCGCCCACTGCTCAGGGTCTGTTTCAGGCGATGGGAAGGACAAGGCACCTAGCCACGGGTAGAAGTTCCTGAAATGGTAAACTTCTGTTATATCCATTTCTACCCAATTAAAGTAAACAAAAAACAAGAACAAAGACCAAAGGGACATATTTAAAAACAAACTACGAAACTCACAGAGCTGGATACAGTATTTCCACAATCAAGGACACACTAGGTTCCTGGATAGGAAGCACATTCCCTACTATTCCCAAACGAAGTCGGAGGTCACTGCTGACGGCTCGGCTCTAGGGTCGGCTCTGCCCATGGCACGAGAAGGCAAGATGCCCTCAGGGATTGTGTGCCTAGTGACAGACACAAAAAGCGGGCAGGAGACAGGGGCCTAAGGAGGCCAATGTACCAGCAGTGCTGCCAGGACTGGGCCTGACTCATCAGATGAACACATCTCGAGCCTAGGAGCCGAAGGCAAGGGCAGCAGGCCCACTGTGCCAGCACTGCCAGGGCTGCTGGGTGGCATGGCCTGTCCTCACTGAACATCCGGCCAGTCACACCTCCAAGCCACAGCAACGCTGAGAGGAAGGGTAGGTGGGCATTGCACTTTGTCAAAAAAAATCCTCATAGGGAAGGCAGAGCCTGGAAACCAACCAACACCTACGAGTCACGAGCAGAACGTGCCCGCGTGTTTCTGAGACTCATGCGACCCCACCAGAAGAGGCCGAACTGCTCTGGTGGGTTCCAAGACTGTCCGTCTCCGGGGTGAAGACAGCCTTCCCTCTACGCAGGGATAGGAACCCCTGCAAGGCAAGGTTTGTGCAAAGGCACAGAAAGCACACCACAACACAGGCGATGAGTGACAGGAACCCAGGGGGAAGTCTGGCAAGTCCCTTCCTCTGTGGGAAAGAGGTGGCAGGGACACACAGCCTGGGACGATGGTGCAGTTAACACTCCAGATGCAGCTCAGGAAGAAGGCCTAGCCCGAGACAAAATTAACAAAAATTAACCCAGAGGTAATGGCTAACCCTGCTATGTGGACGTGACTGGCGTGAACTACGGTCATTTTCTAGCACTTCTGAGAGGAAACTCATCAGAGCCCAGAGGCTCTTGGGGGCAGTGAGCTCTCCTGAGAAATGAGGCACTAGGGCCATGGGGGCCAACAGAGTGGCCTGTGGAGGCCTGGGCACAGTGACGAGGGCACACAGTCCTTGGACACCAGGAGCAGGGCTGGGACCTCCCCCACTGTCCACAGCAGCTCACTACGCACACAGAGTGTCTGTTCCTGGTAGTCAGAAGACCATCCCTGAGCCCAAGTGACAGAGAGCTGACCCTCCGAAAGCTAAGCGGGTCTGGCCTCTGGGCTGCTGGCAGTAGCGCTGCAGTGGTGGCTGCCTGTGCCCTTCAGAGTGCAATTGCTGGCCGTACAGTCGCTGACTGCTTTTACAGTGGACTGTCTTTTTTAAAAAAAAGAAAAGAAAACAAGGTTTTATCAGGAGCTCTTAAAGAAAGCATAACATTCCACCATTCATGAACTGTCTCTTTTTAACTCCTGTCCATTGAGCCAACTTCTTCCCTTGTGAAAAAAGCATGCAGACAAACACCCAAACCCTCCTTGTCAAACTGATTCCGACTCAGCGACTGACGGGCTCCCAAAGCCAGGCGTTTTTACCGAAAAAGAACGCCACATCTTTCCCCTGGTCACGGTCGACTGTCCCTCTGAGCACTTAACCCCTGCGTCACCAGGGCCCCTCGCCCACATGAGAGCACTTCAGACTCCCTGTTGCAGAGACCGTTTGTCAGGTGCCTTGAGTCAGTTCCCACTCGGCCCCCCTCCCCCACCCCTTGTACAGCAGGAGGAGACCCTCTCCGGCCCCGCCCACCTCACCCCCACAGTGGTTCTTCACGCTGGAGCCACCTGCTGCAGCCACTGTGCCGGTGCAGCCCATGAAGGGCCTTTCTATGGCTCACCCTCCCTGCACGCCGCCAAGCATGTCCCAAATACATGAGCCGGTCTGTCCCACCATCCTCGGTTCTAAGGAGTCTTCCGGCTCCACTTCTTCTAAGACAGATGCGTTTGTTACTCTGGCAGTCCACGATATAGCAGTTTTCGTAAAAGGTATTAATATTTCTTTGGTCGTCCTCAGTCGTTGCCTAGCTTTCACAGATTCTCAAATTACTTGCTCAGCGTTCATAAGTAAGGTAGAAGGACACAAGCCTGGAGCACACCTCTGTCGACTTAAAACCGTGCAGTATCCTCCTTGTTCCGTTCAGGTGATTGTCTCTTGGTCCATGTACGGGTTCCACATGAGTACAATGAAATGTTCTGGTACTCCCATTCTTCACAATGTTATCTGTAATTGTTAGAACCTACACACATGCCTTTGTACAGTCAGGAAAACAAAGGGAAATATCATTCTGGTATTATCTGCTTTCAGACAAAATCCATCTGACATCAGCAATAACATCTTTCATTCCACAACCTCTTTTGAATCTGGTTTGAATTTCCACATGGGTGTATTACTACAACCATTTTAAAATTACCTTCAGCATACATGTACTTGTCCATGGCATTAATTATATTGTCAACCATTTCTATATTCTATTGGATTACCTTTCTCTGGAATGGGCACAAATAAGGATCTCTTCCGGTCAACCAGGTAGCTGCCTTCCAGTTGCTTGACACATACAGTGAGAACTTCAAGCATGGTGTCTGCTTGGTGAAACGCCTCGGTGGGTAGTCTGTCAATCCCTGGAGCCTGCTTTTCACTATTGCCTTCGATGCAACTTGGACGTACGTCTTCCTTCAATAACATCAGCTCTTGATCATATGCTATTTCCTGATTGAATGGATGTCAACCAATTATTTTGGCACAATGACTCTGTATTCCTTCCACCTTCTATTGATGCTCGGCATCACCATCATCTTGCCACTCTGTCAGCTGTTGTTGTTGGGTGCCACCGGGTCGGTTCCCACTCATAGTGACCCCGTGCACAACAGAACGAGACACTGCCCGGTCCCGCGCCATCCTCACAGTTGTTCCCATCCTTGTGTCCATTACAGCAACAACGGTGTCACTCCATCCCACCAAGGGCCTTCTTTTTCACTGCTCCTCCCCTTCAGCAAACATGATGTCCTTCTCCAAGGACTGGTCTCTCCTGAGAACCTGTCCAAAGTACGTCAGACAAAGCCTCACCATCCTTGCTTCTAAGGAGCACTCTGGCCGGACTTCTAAGACGGATCGGTTTGTCCTTTTGGCAGCGCAGAGTACTTTCAGTATTCTTCGCCAGCACCACTCAAATGCAGACTCTTCTCTCGTCTTCTTCACTCAATGTCCACCTTTCTCATGCATGAGGCGATGAAAAAGACCATGCCTGTGTCAAGCACACCGTATACCTCAAAGTAACCTCCATGCTTTTCAAACATCTAAAGAGGTCTTGTGCAATAGATTGAGCAAGTGTAACATGTCTTTTGATCTCAACTGCTGCTCCCCCAAGCATGAATTGTGGTCCAAACAAGACAAAATCTTTGACAACTTCAATCTTTCCTTCATTTATCATGTCACCTACTGGTCCAGTGGCGAGGATGTTGGTCTTCCTTACATTGAGTTGTCATCCACACTGAAGGCTGCAATCCTCGATCTCCATCAGCAAGTGTGTCAAGTCCTTCAGCAAGCAAGGTTGTGTCATCTGTATACTGCAAGTTGCGAATAATCTTCCTCCAATCTTGAGGCTACATTCTTCTTCCTATAAGCCAGCTTCTCTGAGTACATGCTCAGCATACAGATGGAATAAGTATGGTGAGAAGATACAGCCCTGTCATAACCTTTTCCAGATTTTAAACCATGCGGCATTCCCTTGTTCTGCTCACACAATTTCCTCTTGAACCATGTATAAGTTCTGCAGGAGCACAGTTAAGTGTTCTGGAATTCCCATTTTTCTCAAGGTGATTCATAGTCTGTTATGATCCACACAGTCAAATGCCTTGGCACAGTCAATAAAACACAAGTACATATCTTTCTGACAGTCTCTGCTTTCAGCCAAGAGCCATCTGATGTCAGCAATGACAGCCTTTGTTCCACGTCCTCTTCTGAGTCTGACTGAACCTCTGGAGCGCCCTGGCGAAGCACTGCTGCAGCTGCTTCGCTGCTGGAGGCTTGCCTGGCTTCCTCAGGCCTTTCAACATGAGCAGCGCCAAGTGTGTTCTTCCCTTTTGGTTTTCTAACTCCAGGTCTCTGAACATTTCCTTATAATTCTTTTGTTTCTTGACCCACCCTTTGAAATGTTCTGTTTAGCTCTCTCTCATTTCTTCCATTAGCTTTCGGCATTCT